CATCTTTTCCTTTCTTTTCGCGTGCATCCTCGACAAGCTTCGCGACAGGTTCGCAAGGGAAGATGTCAGCCTGTGCTTGCCATGGTGTGATGCCTGGCTATGCGCCTCCCCTGAGGCTGCCGCTCTTGAGCCTGCACAGGCCACGTCCAGACCTCTGGACGTGACTTGGATGGACGATCTTTGTCTTCTCGTCGCAGGCAGCAGCCCCGACACTCTCGTCGAGAAGACCACTACCATCGCTACAGCTGTCATCACCGAATGTGTGCAGGCGACCCTCCTCCCGAACCTGGCCATTGGCAAAACCGAAGCGCTCGTCTTCCTCACTGGACCGCGCTCCAAAACCCTTCGCAAAGAGATCTTTTGCGGCAGCGACCCTTCTTTGCAACTGCACTCAGACATCTGGCCGGCAGCCCGGCTCCGCCTCGTCGCCAAATACAAACACGTGGGCGGCATGCTGCAAGCCACAGGCGGTCACGCCAAAGAGGTCAAGGCCAGGATAGGTGCCGCCTGGAGTGCTTCCGGCTCCATCGGAGGAAAATCTTTGCCTCCCCCCTCGTCAGTGGCAGGGACAAGGTCATACTTTTTGCCTCGACAGGAAACTGTCCAGCAGCTCCAGAACACCCTCCTAGGCATGACAAGAATGATGCTGCGACCGGCCTACACTTTCGACAAAGCTTGCCATTTGAGCCCGGCATACGTTCTTGCATGCGCCCGGGTTTTGCCGGCCTCCCACGCCTGTCACGTTGAAAGGCTCCGCCACTTCCGTGCTCTCGTTCTCAAGGCGAATCCCGAGATCTGGTCTCTGCTGCACTACGAGGGCTCATGGCTCCACGATCTCCAGGGATCACTGCACTGGATGTGCGAACAATTACAGCTTGGGCCCCGAGCACCCCCCCCCGGTTGGCACATGGCAAATTGCGGTCGACTTGATTCGATCCTCTGCCAGTGGCTGGAAACGCCTAGTCAACCGTGCCAGGCACACAGCTCTTCTTGCTTCTCATTGGGAGGCCGAGGTTGAACAAATGTACGGCATGATCTTGCGACAACTTCGGGATGCTGGGGCATCTTACGGCGCCAACGTCGAGCCGCCCGCCTGTGAGGCTGAGGTTTGCGGTTTATGCAAGCGCCGCTTCCCTGATCTCCGCACCTGGTCCCACCATGCATTTAAGATCCACTCCCGTGTCAGAGAAGAGAGACTCCTTGTCGAAGGGACTCAATGTCCACATTGCTTGCACCAGTACGCAAACACCGAGAAGCTCTGCAACCACCTGAGGTACACCCGCAGCTGCCGCCACGCATTGCTTGCAAGAGAGTCTCGTGTATGCCCTGTGCCTGGCATTGGCAGTCGGAAGTTCAATGACGGATCCAGTGTTCAGGCCCCGGTGCTGCAAGCCAGCGGCCCTTTACGTACTACACAACGAGTCGATGTAGTCGATGAGCCCCACAGGCCTGAGCCGCTTGTCATCCAAGCTCTTGAGGATTGCTTTTGCCACGATGAGCAGGTTTGCGGCGACCTTGAGGACCTTACACGTCGATACCGGCAAGCATTCTCGAGGGCCTGCTTGCAAACCAGCAGGCTCAACTCCACTCTCGCTGAATGGGCCAGCATCCTCGCGGACGAGCTTGATGGAGACGCCGACTGCTCTGTCCGCTGGGGGGCTATGCACACCTCCCTCACTGCACATCTCAAGCACGTTGACTGGCCCGCCTGGCTTGCTCCAGACTCCACTCACAAGCACCCTGACGTCAAAGTCTACCGGGATGCATGGAAGCTACTGCCCTGGATACAGTTTGAGGGTGCCGGCTTCGCAGCACTCGCCCCGCCTACCGAGGTTGGGCGTTACTTTGCAGATGGTGCTTGTGGGAAGCATATTCCGCCTGATCTCCGATCCACCTGGACTCCTGTCACCGCGCTCGGGGCGATCCTTGGCAGTGATGGGGCCCGATGTTACTCCGCTACCATCTTTGATTGTGTCGGGCTCCTTCCTTCGGTTGCCGTGCCAAGACCTGTGCAGCGCTTCACAAAGCTCGAGAAGTCACTCCGCCGCCTCCGGCTCTTCTCTGACTTCATTCGCGGAGCCATCAGTTTGTGGAGTCAGGGCCGTCCTGCTGTTGTTGTCCTTTCGGAGCGGGATAGCCCAGTATCACAGGCCCTGCTACAAGCTGCTCCTTTCCAAGCCCGACGGGATTCCCTTTGTGCAGTCGGGAATTACCCTTGCGAGGCCCCTCTTTCACGTTTCACCTCCCCGCCCGTTTAATTAGGTGCAACTTCATGGCTGCGTCAGATTTTGACTCAGTGCCACGAAAGCGAAAGCGAAATACATATATATATATATATAAACAGTTTTATTTTTGTAGTTCTATAGCATACCAGAGTGATGGTAGGTTCACAGGGTTGGGTCTCGAGGCCGGGGCTAAACACGGCACCCAGATCGCCGAAACTCTGAACCCGAACCTTACACACAAGAGGGGGTGTAGGGCTTAGGGTTTAGAGCTTTAGGGCTTTTAGGGTTTAGGGCTCCGCAGAAGCACCTGAGCAAACACGAGGATAAGGTACGGATATGCTTGCAAGATGCTGCTTATGTCCCCTGGTTTGGGGCCCTTAGATTGAAAGTGTCTATGCTATGACAGAGAAATCCACTGAAGCAATGCCATCCACGTCCCACAGCAAAAATCTTAAACCCCCCCAAGCCCCTCAAACCCTGCACTCGCAGAGCAGAAGCCTCTCGACCCTGATCGCTTGCTGTCGCGGCGCACGGCCACCAGGAAAACCACAAGCTGCATCCTTGAATGCCAAATCAGGCTTTCTGCCAGCTATCTCTTCCCCTGGTACCAAGTCCAAACCCATCCAGGTTGCCAAACCGCGAGCATGACCAGCACATCCACCAACTGCACCGGTAGGATCCTCTCAGGGCATACAGGCTTGTCGGGACCATGGCTCCCACATATGTTTTGATTCATGGCTCACGAGACGAACTTGCAGCGGGACCTCAACACTTCAAAACACCAGCCATGTTTGATGAACCCGAATCTTCCCACTTCTGCCTGCGAGCATCGAGCTTCTTAGGTCCGTGGCGTAATGCTCACATAAGCCCCTTATTACCCATATTCTGCTTATTCTTATTGCTATTATTATTGCCCTTATTCTTACTACTATTATTATCATTTTGTTGTCACCAAACTTACTACTATTATTATCATTTTTCTTGTCACCACTCAATGTGCCAGCTGCTTCTGTGCCGAGCCACTTGAAGCTCTCGGCCAGGCGCAGGCCGTGCCCCTCCAGGATCCTGCGCCGCAGCTTGCTGGCTCCCGCCACCCCCCCAAAAAAATGCACGCTCAAAGTTTAGGGTTTAGGGTTTTAGAGGGTTTAGGGTTTAGGGCAGGAATATTCCAGGATTTACGGGTTTTTTTGCCTCCCACCTTGAACCTAGCTAGGACGAGCCCGCATAGCAGGGGATAGTCGAAAGCACAGACTCAGGGTTTAGAGTTTAGCGTTTGGGGTTTCGGGAGGGAATATTCCAGGTTTGGGGGGAGGCTCCCAAGTACAACTTCGACGATTGATTCCGTAGGAAAGGGTATGGCACGGGGACTCTAGCACCATGTGGGTGGTTTCAAAATTATGGTCCCTTTTGGGGTACCCTAAATAATAGGTGCTGTATTATAATAAGGACCCAAAAAAAAAAGGGACCTAATTTTGACACTGGACACGCCAACGTTTGGCTTCTGGCCCGTAACGGGCTTCGGAATTAGAGTTGCTTTCTGACATCTCTTCGCAAGTCTTGGGCAGTCCGCAGTGCAGCATGTAACGCTATATCATTACAATGCAAGCCATGAGATTTGGGACATTGATTACGCCCAACATGCTGCACTATGCTCAGCGCTCAGAACCCTCCTAAACTCCGGGTCCCAACGCCCAGATCAACACTGCCTGGCGCTACCCCTTGGGATGCGCTGAGATACTCCAACCAGAAAATCAAAAAAATCAATCGCACACCCAAACTTTGATCCCTAAGCCTACTACGTCAGACATTCATGTACTCTTGGTCCAGCTGGAAGCCACCTCCGAGACAAGGACGGTGAAGCCTCAACCGCGATGGGACTTTTGTGGTTTGTCTAAAGGTCAAAGCCCCATTCTTCGAAGCTGTTCGGTTCTTACGGACTTTTAGGGAAATTGAGATGCATCAACCTCAACCACCAAAAAACTTCTTCGTGGTTGCCAGAGATTCTAAAAAAAGCTACTGTTGTAGCCGCAGCCCGGCCACCCACTTGCAGGAGCGAAGCCATAAGAAGCCTGGGATGGGCTGCGTTCTGCAGGCTTCCTTGGGTCTGAAACTGAATACCTATACCCGAAACCATCCTGAACCCCCAAATTGGGGTTTTGGGTTTAGGGTTTAGGGTTTACCCTAAACTTTAAACCTTGAATCTCATGCCTTCAGCCTACGGCGTAGCCAGGCCGGAGCCCATGCATCACAAGATCATCTGTCTCGCAACAGGGTGCAGGGTCCGGCTGTCCGGGTGTCATCGCATGTCCGGGTCCGACATGCGAGAAGCGACATTACAAGTACTGTAGGGTCTAAATAATTACCAGTACTATTTTCAGGGTTCCTTATGATAATTATTGTATAATGGGCCCCAAAGCCCTATTCTAATCATTAAGGGCCCTCTAGTACGCAGGGTTCGGGGTGGGTTTGCGGGTGCAGGGCTTCGGCCTTCAAGCATTTCAAGCCTTAGGGCTTGCGCTCGTAGCTGCTTAGTCGATAGTTGGGGCCCCGAAGGATCTACTATACCAGGGTTTAGGGCTTATAGGGTTTAGGGTTTAGGGTTTAGGGCCCTTTTGGGGGCTTCGGGGATTTAGGGCTTTCAGGGTCTTGATAAATTTTAGGGTTTTGGGGAAGCCAGCTGGGCCGTCAAGCAAGGAGACGGCAACAAAGACCCTCCTGGTTCAGGGTTTAGGATTCAAGAAGATTCGCTTCCGATGAGCTGTAGTCTTAAGGCCTTCAGTTTGGGGCACCAGACACTTCCTGAAATCTTCGCCTCCCTCTCGGACTTTCCCTAACTGAACAGCCTCGGAGCCCAACGCCCACGCGGGAGCTGGCCAGCGTCAGCGCTTGCTGGATGGCCACTCGGAGCCCTGAGCGGACCGGGAGATGGGACGGGTTTGGAGGAAACTGGGAAAACTCAGCCAGCGGCAACTCTGATTGGTGTCTTGCCGGCGCTGACATCCCACCCGCATGCACAGCATTCGGACGTACCTCGGTGTGCTGCGGCACATAAGGCGTCTCCACACCTATTCACCACAGTCCGTCTTCAAGTCTGGTGATACAGACAGGCAGGAGCGTGCATGTGTAATCATTGAAGTTTTCGTCTTGATACAGCAATGGCCAGAGGGATGAGCCAAAAGCCCTTAAATCACAACAGCCTCAACAGCATTTCCTAGTATGTATCTGCTGCATGCTTGTGGGTCTACATACACGTTCGACATGGACCATACAGACATACACTACATACATATGGTTATACATATTACATATTACATGTTACATATTGCCAATACATATTAGTATTACATTTTACACATTACGTATTACATATTACATATTCCCCATTACATGTTGCAAAAGAAAACACTGTAATGTTGTATAATACAACATAATGTAAATTACTGTAATACAATGTAACATACATGTAATATAATGTGATGTCATGTGATACAATGTAACTTTTTGTAATATAATGTAATATAACGTAATACACAAAATAAGATATACTGATATGGTATATAATTGTATGTTTATGATTATGTTATGTAACTGTTATACTTTATTTAAACAAAAAACGTAACATTAGCGTAACGTAGTATAACATAACGTAATACTGTATACTATGATATAGTACAGTATTAGATAAAAAACGACGAGATCACCAAGTCCCTCTCTCTCTGCTTCTCCTTCTCGCCACATAGAAATGTATCTACCTGAGTATATATACATATATGTATGTATGTATGTATGTATGTATGTATCCTGGTAAGCCGACAGTCAACACACGTGCGCATATACACACACACACACGCACACAACTACAAACACGCACACACACACACATACATACATACATACATACATACATACATACATACATACATACATACATACATACATACTCACATACATACATACATAAATA